GGCATCTGTTTGTCAGACTGCAGGCACCGCGGGCCTCTTTCTCAGCTGTTTACCAGAGCCTTCCACTTCTCTTACTGCTCCAGTTAAAACCACATTGCTCTGTTCTGTTAAGGAAGTAGCACACACCTTTTTATGCAATCTCTGGTTTTGTTGGTTTCCTGCTTAAAGAACCTTTTTTAAAAGAAACGAGCACTCAAATGCTGTTGATTCTTGAATCAGCACTTGCAATCGAGCTGTGAAACAAAATGAGTTTTTCCTGATTATCACTTAAAAAACAAAAAGTGCTAATGCATGGTTGCTGAACACTGACCACCATAGGTCTAGATAGATGTTCCACTGAAAGTCATAAATAATGCACGATTTCATTAATCATTAATTGTCATATAGGACATTTTTGTTTGCTTGCATGGCGCCTTAGATGAATCCAAATCAACCCCAAACATCTGAGCAGCAGTGTGGATGCTGTTTGAACTCATGGAATTTATTTTATATTAAATTGCTGAACATACTTAGCAGAACTCCAAATAGTTGTTCTGAAGCGTTCAGTCACTTTAGGCCAGTTTCGCGACTTTTTAGAGAAAATGTCATAAAATGAGAAAAAATTACTACTCCACTGAATCCCAAGTTGTCCCTTTTTGTAAACACCCAAACTCAGTTTTAGGGTTACATGACTGTAAGTGAGGAAAATGAATACAGAATTTAGCACAAGATCTGACCGTCTATGGCTCCTCCTGTAGGAACCAAACCTCATTTCTGCGTCCGTAAGGCTTGAGCGGGTCGTAGCTACAGCAGAAGTACTGCTTGCGCTGAAAGGGGGCGGTCTCGCCCAGGGTACGTGTCAAACGCAGCGCCTCTGCTCTGTACTCGCTCTCCCCTGCGAAGCCTCCAAACTGCCTGCAAATTGAAAAAGATTTCACTTTCTGTATACACACATCAAATAGTAATAGTAATAATAGTAATAGAACCACTTTAAATGACACATACAGAGCGTAGACGGTCATGCCGGGCCTCTCTTCAATCCTGATGGCACTGTCGGTGGGAGTCGGGGCTTCTTGCTGGTAGCTGGTGGGAATGCGGATGGCCACCACCAAGCGGCGAGAGAAAACCCCATCGTTTCGCGGGTACACTGTCATTATGATGGGAGCTGCTGTACCCATGGCCTCACCTTATGATTTAAAGTGTGAGACGGAAAGGGAATTTCAAAAACAGGAGGAACATGGAAGAGACAGCAGAGAAGCACTCTCCCTGCAGCGGCATTACCCAAATCTAAAGGGCAGGAACTGTGCACTTTTTTGTGGACTATGTAACAAAATTATGCAAATGCAACACTGATAGCAATAACAGAGATGCTGCAAAGCAGCACATGTAAATCACACCTCCAACAGTGAAATAAATGCCTATTTCACACTGCACTTCTATTTACCTTTTATTTGCCTGCTTAACTACAGCAGGGAACCAGAGAACATCTGTATCTGTGAGTCAACTAAAGTCAACCCAGTTAAATTCTATGTAAAAATATTCTGTTTATTTAAGATAAGTTTGGCCCTAAAGTTTGAGCCATGTGTTGATTCCATTATGCTCATTTGTATTGCTTTAGGGTGCTTCAAAGTGCCAACTTTTTTCTTTTGCTGGATGCATCCAAAGATCCTGAATTGAAATCAACTGCAGAATTTAACAACAGCAATGATAGTGGCAGAAGTATAACTTCCTGTAAAACAAACATATTTTGAGGCAAAGCTGGCACACCTTTTAGATTTTACTTGTAATTCTATTCATGGATTTTTCTTTAAATATCTCAGTGATCATTAAAATTAAAGTTACTGTTGATAATATTTGAAAGTAACTGCCTTTTTGATAAAGGTTATAGTTGGAGGTGGATCGGGTGGTCCTGAACCATGATTTATTCTACTATAGGCTAAGGCTGCTGGAGAACTTCCCATGATGCACTGAGATCTTCTTTTCACTTCTCATGCATTTACCACTACTGCATGTCATTAACTTCTTGTCTCTTCAAGCTTTACTTTTATCTCTTCTCTTTCCTCTCACCCCCAGCTGCTTCCCCTCCCTCACTCTGGTTCTGTTGGTGTTCTCTTCTTGTTTAATCAGGGTTTTTCCTTCCCACTGTTGCCAAATGCTTGTGTCTGATTTCTGTTGTTTTCTCAACTCTTTTTCAACTCTTTCATGGCATGCATTTTTAATTACTCTTTGCTATTTGGGCTGATTGGGACCTAATCAATGTAAAAACAAAGAATTACCTGATTTATTTTTTACTTGATTTTTGTTTCTGAGAAAAATGAGATCCACATATGAGGACATCTGTAATATGATGCCCTCGTAAGTGGATATCAGGCTCTTGTAGAGCAAAATTTAGTATTTTGGTCTAGACAACCCAAAAAGTGATGTCCACATATGTGGACGCCAGGTCCTAGGAGGTTAAGATTGTAAGGGTTTTACCTTGCAATGTTAGGCCCATTGAGGGGAGCTGAATTATACTATATAAATAAAATTTAGTTGGCTCAAACTTGCTTCTGGAGATCTTAAAACAGAAAAAAGTATGATTAATTATATTTTTAGAGAACTGAAAAAAAGCAGCTTTTTAAAATATTTTCATAAATTCCAGGATTGACCACCAACTCAACAAAAAATCATCATGGTCTGTCGCTTATGAAAACTACAACTTGGCAGCAGTTATTAGTCCAGTGAATTTGTGCTTCATGGCTGTTATTTATTGGCACTAAATATGTTTTGGAAGGTGACAGCAAAGCTGAAAGAAAGTATCTGAAGGTCTTGTTGGCTCAAACTTAATTTGTTATTCTCAGCGAACGTGGCACGTGATCCACCTGAAGGATTTATTCTCCACTTGCTTTACCTTGTTCATTGCTTCCGCCAATATACATGAGCAGCTTCCTCATTAGCTCTCCTGTTACTTGGTCGAAGGTTCGCCCCTCAGAGGAAACAGCAGCAAACTTAGCAGCATCATACCGTCGCACCTCAAAGCTGACTCCATCCTAGGGGAAAAAAAGGAAATCGGAGGACGTCTTAAGGCATCGGCAGGCCAGTCACTGCTGCACGAATGCAGACCTCCTGTTCTGTACACACACACACACGCAAACACCACTGTTCTCATCCTGGGGATGGGAGCAGCAGAGGTCAAGCCCAGATATGATTCACCTCTGACACACTGATGCTGACAATCTGCTTCTAAGGACAGAAGCCCTGAACTAGCGAGATTTAGGCACAGAGAGTTCAGTGTCTGTGTGTGTGTGAGACCAAAGTGGGCACATACAGATGAAACATATTTATACTGATTTGAGTTAATTTCTTCTTCTGCTCTGCAGAGCTCCTTCGGCTTACATAGAATAATGGGGAAGAGACGCACGGTCTTACATAACAGAGCACATGCGAAAAGAAAACACACACACACACACACACACTGCGCGCTCTCTTTCACGGCGTTGATATGATGCAACAGTTTTACATTAAATATGATTAAGTGGGGTTAATGTGGAGCACGGTCACTCAGCCATGCTGCGGAGCAGGAATTTGGATGGGTTTTGATGGAGTGATGCAGGTTTCAAAAGCAGCTTTTCACTCACTGACACGGTCACACTGCACATGCTTCTGCGTTTGTAAGATTAGGTTCGTGCACTGAAATTTAACTGCATTATATCGTTGTCATCCACTTCTTTTGAATAATATGCAGTGACTTCAACCTGCTGGCCTCTGTGAAATATGTCATTTAATTTTTTAGATAAGGTGTTTATCTCAACGTGATAACAGCAGCAAAGAAAAGCAACAATGGAAACAGGCTCGGGGCACAGTTTCCACTGCACAGTCTCAGTCCTATGTGGGCTTCTTGAGCATGTTTTCACTACCCTGGAGGGACATTCAAATCTAAAAATATCATGCAAATATCTTCATCTTTCAAATTGAATTAGTGATTCTTTGTCTACTATCAAATCCCCAGATGCTAAAAAACATTTCCTTTTGCTATACATTTGTAACCAACACCTTTTTATCCTCATAATCTCATTTAAAAACCCACAGAGGACCTGAAATCCTCTGGAGTGGCTTTATGAGGAGCCTATAGCCATATTTATTCCTCTACACATGCAAGATAACGCTGAGTTACTGTGAAACTTTAACTTGTGACGAGTACCCGGGCTCCTGCATAGTAATTACAGGGTTTTTTGCCCTGTATAGCTTGTCAGTGGGACCGCCATTAATGTTGCATATGGGTGACACACAAAGAAAGCAGAGCCTGACTTCAGTTAAGTAGTGCAATTAATTTGTCTGTCATGCATCTCTTTTTGTGTGCATGTGTGTGTTTACCGGCTGTCTGATGCCAGCTTATACAGTGATAATTATTCAGCGCCTGAACCGAGCACACTGAAGTTATTATCAGCGCTGACTGCTAAAGTGCCCGCCAGTTCATCTTATTTTGAAACAATACTCTATGTTCTGCTGTGTGTGTGCGCACGCTTGTCTGTATTCTGTGTCAGAATTAATTAAGCGTGTTGGGTGTCAGAGTCACACAGGTGCTCCACAGATCATGTGACAAGCTCTGATTTCAGCACCTGCTTTTTAAACATCAATCAAGTACAGAGATTTGATGAGCCTCCAGATTGTTTTCTAAGTGTAGTGATACACTGAACATTGGACAGTTAATACAAATGATCACTCACTAGCAAGAATCCTGTATTTCTGACAGGTCTCCATTAAAATAAGGTTGTAATTCAAGATTAAATGTTAGTGGAAGAGCTTCCAATCTTTAAAAACAACTGTTATGTGTGCACATACTGCTGGCTTCAACTGTCTGTTTTTGAGTTTCTGATTCTGACAACAGATGTAAAGTATGCTGTCAGAACAGATCTGACTCTGCTTGTGTCCATTTGGGCCATTTAATTCCCTGCCTGTCTGGTCAGTTTGGCTGGAAATCCTGTTTATCCTCCTGCCTTTGTCTTTCTCCCAAAAGTTAGCTGCTATTTAGAGATGAACACACAAAGATACTTTTAAAACATACACGTCAAGACCAATAGTAGATGACTGCATGCACATTTATAGCGGTGGGCACACAGAGCCTGAGAGAATAACCTTGAAACAGCCGCGAGGCCTTAGTTATTAACACATCAGTGAGTTTGCGGTTATTTTCCACGGTGTGGTTACAGTAAGCATAAGAAAAACAAACATTATGCATGGTGGAGCTGAGTCTTTGTTACTCTCCTCAGCAGGGATGGCTGGTGTATCAGAGCACCTACAATCCGTATCAGAGTTCATACAGGTCTGATCAGCATCCTCTTCCACCCCAGCGACAGTTACTGTGTCTCGTGGTTTTACACGCACACACGCGCGCGCGCGCATCCAGAGTGCCATAATGGAAAGAAACAGTGACCCACACCGAACATGAACCCTCAGTCTTTCCGATTTTAGTCCCCTGTGAATGTTCTTGTTTAAAGATTATGCGTCACCATCTTCAATTATTTCTGCCTTGTTGGTTGGAGGAGAACCTGGGGCTGGTTTACACTTTACCCCCCACGCTGTGGATCAGCATGCATCCTCATGTCACTGTCAGGCTGTTTGGCCTGCAGCAGCAGGCTAATCACCGTGGTAATTTTAAACGAAAGTCTAATAACACGACCTGCACAGAATTAAGTAAAAGGTGAAACATTCATGGAACCAGAGGGGGGAAACTCGCACTTTTATAATCTGACAGAATCGCTGTGCGTAATCGTAACTGCACACGCGCGTAAAGCCAAGGATAAAGACTCAGAAGAAGAAAATCGCAGGAGCAAAGCACGTGAAAACGAGAAAGCTTTGTCTGAGCACACACACTGCTTACCTTCGTCTCGCTGCTGAGCAGCTTATATTCCGTCTCCTCGGTGTTTCCGAAGAGGGAATTCTTAAACATGCCAAACATGTCGCTTCGGCCAAGTCACCTCTCCTCTCTCCGCTCCTTTAGTTCTGTTTCTCCTCCCTCTCGCCTTTCTGTTTGTTGCAAACAGCTTGCTCTCTAGTATGGCAGTTTTTTTTAAATGTCGTCCCCCAACTCCTGGAAAAATCTTGAACTGCAAGAGGTAACTCACAGCAATATCCAGATGCTCCTCTCCTCCAGCGACGAGCGCGCACTACGCTCCAGTGAGCACAGACTCACAAATGACTCTTTCTTTCTTTATTTTTTCGGAGGCAGAAGTTGGAGATGCTTCCTCCTTTTCCAAACCAAGGAATGATAAAAAAAAAAAATCATCCTCCGCTCTGAGTAGTTGACTGTCCCCGCCCTCTTCTCTCTCTCTCACAGGTTTTCCTCTTACAAGCTTGACGCTCACTTGTATCACCGCCAGTTTTCCTTTACCATCGTTAACTTCATTTAATTGGAGAATCAATTTATCAACATGTCACCAATTTTCTACCACTTATTACTCCACGAACTACCAGGTTGCCCCCGCATACATACAATCGTGCATTTAATTGCATAACCGTGAGATGCTGCATTATTATTAACGCCACCTCCTCAAACTCTCACCACGGAAAAGCAGAATGACCTGCAGTGCCAGGGTCTCCCTCATTCTGTCTGTTCCAGGACGCCTGAAACTGTGGGGTGCTTTCTGTGCAGTATAATTTTTGACACAAGCCTTTGGTTTGTCAGTACGCATTGGACCTTGATTGCTGGGCTGTGCGCGTGGGTTAGTTCAGGGCAGCACATGAGTGCACGTCTTATTCCGTGTGTCAACTGTGAGTTTGAGCTTTGCTTTAGGGTTTGTCTATTTAAATTCAGACTGAAGGCAATGTTAGTCACGACTGGAGAGTAAGGGAAACAGGAAGGATAGGATTTATGAAAAAGTGGAATGGATAAAACTAGCCAGAAAAACGATGTACTGTATGAGGGAACTGTTGACAGAGGGGCAAAGATCCGATGTCACCCGGTTTGTGGACCTAAGTTAATGGGAGTCCATGGGATGTCTTGTGTAGGCCTATTTAACTCATTATTCTCTTTCTGACAGTTTCAAAGAGCTCTTAATTTAACCTGAAGGTCAACCTGCTTCCCACGTTTTTATTCTGGGACTCCAAACAGTAGCTTAGTATGATGCACAGTTCATATCATTATCTTATACTAGGCCTCGGTCAATGCCCTCAGTAAAAAACATTTGGCTCATAGATATTACTGACTTTAATATTAGAACATCGAGTACCTTGAAGTTTAGTTTTTGTGTAATGTGGCATACGCCAGCTTTGTCATTCAGTAAGCCTGGAGAACTATTTCTGAGAACTACTTAAAAATGACAAGAAAACTGCAAGAGTGTTCATGCTGTCTTGAAGAATAAAGGTCATACCAGATATTTTTGTTGTATATACTGTATTTCTGTGTGTTTGCACTTGCTTCAATAAATTACTTCTCCCATTTCCCTAGAAAAATAAAGGGTGACTAAAGACTTTTGCACTGTTGCATGCACTCCCACCACCTTTTATTGAAATGAGGGCTCAGCCATCTTCACCATGCCTACATGCACTGATATGCTGCCATGTGACAGCCTGATTAGATATTTGCATTAACATCCAGTTCAACAAGTGTACCTAATGAAGTGTCCATTAGTGCCCATATGAGAAAAAATAAGAAATAGCGTTATAGGGGCACTTTCATTGGCTATAAGGCAGTGATTAGGAGTTTTGAGCCTCTTAAAGATTTTTTTTTAAATCCACAACATTCAGGATTTACTGCACACCTTGAAACCACCTAAGGCTGAGCCATTGTTTCAAAAAGAGGGGGGAGGTTAGTTACTGGTTAAAAAAGTACACAATATGCACTCAGATTAAAACAAAAAAAACTACACATTTATGTTACTTGTAAAATAACACACAGTGAGTAAAATAAGTCTTAGCAAAGTCTGTCCACTGTAAGCTTCATCAGCGTGCCATATTTTACAGTGTGTGCTAAATATCCTAGCTGATCAGCTTCTGATGAAGTGTATTTACCGGCTCCTTAAGTACATGAAATCAAAATAAAGGACTTATTTAACTAACAGTTTAAATAACACAAAACGATGTTTTATATTGTATACACATCCTTCCAGAAAAGGTGTCAAAATGATTCCTGTTTTAATAGAAATAACTCAAAAATAAAAATGTACTTACATTTATTTTTAATCATTGCATTTAAACACACACAGAGCTGTGGATTAGTAGTGGGGGGGAGGGAGGGGGGGTATATTAATCAGAGATTTTAACCGCAGCTTACATTTTCACAGTACACTGATTTTTTCCACCTTTTGAACACAGGTAAAATAATCTCTCAGACAGCTCACATAACATAACTCCCAACCTGTCAAAGAGTTTGATTTACATGAGCTCGACTGTCCAGATGAGTCAAACACACACGACTCTTAAGATTTTAAAGACTGTTTGTCCAGTGTCCTCACTTTTCCCAGCCTTTGCCTCCTGGCTGGGAGGGCAACCTGAGCCCCACGAGACTAGCCACCTCTTCTGGGCTGCGCTCTCCCTTGCCATGGTAAAGATTGTGCAGGACCAAGTGGTTTCTAGTGGAAGCTAGTAAACACAGGTATGTGTGTGAGGCATGGTGCGCTTCCTGCTTGGCACGGCAGTACCTTTCTCCAGTCACCTGTGAAAGGTTGAATATAAAAGAAACAAATGGATGATAAACAATAACATAATAAGAGTCTGAGACAGAAACTGTTCGTCTAGTGTTGTTTACAAAAAAAAAGTCACCATAAAGAAAATGCAGATGGATAAAGTAGAAGGTACCCTGGAATCAGCATAGAAAATAGCCGCTTGATGATAAACAGGTATGCTTTCATCAGTCTCTGTGTGTGTCCCACCCCCTTTCAGGATTTCTAACAGCTGCATGGACAATATGCATTTAGTTTAGTCCCCACAGACCAGCAGCTATACATTATAAAGCCTTGGGATGCCTTTAAAGGACGATAAATGCGAAACGACATACAAGCGTTCCTCCCAGCTGTTTTGCTTCAGTGACTGCAGCTTCAACCCCCATGTTAAGCCACACTCACCCAAGCATTAATAATACACAGTGTATGTCTGTACGGCTAAAAATAGATAGAGAATCGCTTAGATGGAGATAACGTCGTCTGGACTGACTGCTTTAATGAAGCGAGTAGTTTCAGCAGTTTTGGTTCCAATTAACTTAAATGCAAAAGTATATGAATATCAGTAGATATACATTTGGTTTAAAAAGTCCCCACGAATATATTTAACTTGTTGTTTTTTTTGGCTTGATTGACACTTCCAATTTGAATCAACGACGATTTTGATGATTTTAAACGCGACACTTTAGGCTAATTAGCTGCTAGCTAACGTTTGCGTGCCCTTCTGCTTCAGTGACCTTGCTTACAGCTTTTAAGCACGTGTCAAGTAGACAACAACCACTTTTCAGTGTCATGTTAGGCAACTGTCAGCACTGCTGTAAACCGCTTAAATATGTTCTCTCAACGCCAATAAAACGAAACGTTTCCATTCAATAGTTATCGGGCTAGCCAACGACTGCCATGCGAGCCCAGTGCAGCAGTAGTTAGCAACTGAGCTAACATAAGGCTTTGCGCACTTACTGGTATGCTTACCTTATTCTTGCGAAACTGGTCCATAACATAGTTGTAAGCTAGTGACTTTTTGTAACTCGGTCCCTGAATTGCACGCAGTTCTTTCAGGATTCCGCGACACACTCGCAGCGGCGATGACAGCGCTGCCATCTTTGACCTGTGTTGTGATTGTAGCGGAGTGGAGCCAGGCATGCTAAATCACACACCGCACAGTCGATCTGTTACATATCGACCACAAGGCGGCGATATAGTTACACCGGTCCTCCTAAGTTGACTGCGTGATCGTTTCTTCCTCGCCACTGGTTGTTACCCTGCAACAGTTTAAGGTAACTTGGACTGAATTTAAAACACCCACGTTGGTAATGTCGCCTTGCTATGAGAAAATACATATGTAGGTATGCAGAGACGAGCTTATGTCCGGCACTGCTCGGTGTTTTCTTTATGAACCTTGGAGGATAAATACAACTTTAGCTCTTTATTGTCACACTGTGTACAATAGTATAACGAAATTGTCCCACATCGGTGCTTAAAGAAAAAGCAAGCATTAATCATAATAAATAACAGAAATGAGATATACAGCATATGCACAGATAAAAAAAATGAGACCAGGTCAGGTATCTGCATTGGTTAGGGCTATTGCTCTGTTGTATATAGTGAAAACATAGAGTTTACTGTGTTTTATTGTATTTCCACAGATACCTGAAACTCTGTAAATGGTCATCACAGATCTGATCTTGACATGTCCATCTAAGTCTGGCCTATTGACAGAAAAACCTCTGCCACATTTTGAACCTGTTTCACATGCATTCCACCTCCAGCTTCATTGCAAGGTAATGATTCACCTATAACCTGGTAATATGGACCAGAAGGCTTTTGATGTTTTTGTCCACCGTCGGTTTTTAACGGTGCTTCATCACGCAGGAATCCTTTCAGAGAAAAGCAAATTTGATCTGTAAGACTGAGCACTGAACTGTTCTGTAAGTGGATTACAGTAATGCCGTGCCGTTGGGAGGCACGCTGCAAAACTGAGGCAGAGAACGTGTCCTCACAGGTTCTGACATCAAAGGTTTGGATGACCTGAAGTCAGGTCACGGGTGCTGCACGTTCCCATGGTGCTCCCAGTGCTTCCAGTTTACTTGCTTGTGTATTGATGATTGACTCTAGGGGGAGCCAGTCTCTTATCAGTTTCACACACCGGTTTGGTTCCTCGACATTTGTTGGAAGGCACCCCCTCTCCTCCACCTCCACCTCCTCATGTCTCTCTCCCCCCTCTCTCTCTCTCTCACTCTCACACTCTTTCAATGAATACTAATGCAGTGAGTGGGCCCACCTCCCATCCTCCCATCTTTTTCGCAGGAATGGGCGGGAGAGGGGAGACAGAGCAATTCCAGCTCAGTATTCTTCCTCATGAGGTAGGCAGTGCTTGACTAGCAGCAACCCCAATGCCTTTTTTTTCCTCCCGCTGAGCAATATTGGTGATACTGTGCGTTGCCACTGCAACAATGTCTAACCTGTGTGAGTGGCGTGTAATTTCTGACCAGAGTTGAGAGAAAGAAGGACGTCTGTGCCTGCTGCTTTTTTTCTTTTTCTATTATCCCCTCCTTTTTTTTTTGTCATCTGGATGGGAAGTCTTTTTTGGGAGGAGAGAAAGAAGAAAGCAGAAGGCAGCCGGGGAAGGGGAACAACTGGCAACAGCCAATCCCCCCTTCCACACACAGACTGGAGACAACGGAGGCCACTGGAGTATTTGCTTTTATCTTTCGTTTTTTGTTCTTTTTTTTCCTCATCGCGCTGCTGGGAGGTGCTTTGCCTTTCCATTTGCTCGCTCTCTCGGTCCTCTGTCTTCTTATCTATTTCGCCATTTACCTGGTCAACAATTTCTTCTGTTTATGAGCGAGACAAGGAGGGCGAGAGAGGCAGAGGGACAGAGAAAAAGAGGACGGGGATTTTTTTTTTTTTGGCCCCCTTTATCCTCTTTTTTTCCCCCCTCCTCCCCTTCATTCATTCTTTCCTGCTTTCCTCTCCATTCGTATCACTTCCAGCCTTTCTATCCCTGTGCAGCCCACGCTCTCTCCTTCCTCCACCTCCCCCCTTTTTCCTCCTCCCCCGAACCCCACCACTCCAGTCACTGTCCACCCGTAACTTTGGCTACTTTTTGACTCCACCTGTTCTTTTTTAAAAAAATTTTTATTTCTTCGCTTTAAGCAGCTCCAGTAGAGTCATTTTAATTGGCTTGCTTGTATTTTCTATTTATGCCTTTTTCACTTTTGTACCTTTTTCCTATTTTCCCCCCTTCTCTTTTTTCCTCCCACCATCCTATGCATCTTTTTTGGCCGATTCTTAATTCTAACCATAGGTAGGTCTACTTAGTGTTTAGTGTCTGTCTCAAAGTCTTTTGTTCCTTTTTTCCTTCCGTGTGTGCGAGGTGTTTCGTGTATGGGTGCACACCTGACATGCACACACATGCACGCACGTACACACACACGCTCGCTGGCCTCCGATCTAGCTTGGGCACGGCTCCCCTCCCATCCAGCTCTCAGCTGATTCTTGCCTCATGCCATGTCCTCTCTACGTCACCCCTCCACCCTACCCACCCACCCCCACCTCACTTCCATCTGTGTTTTCAGACCTGTTTTTTTTTTGTGTGTGTGTGCGAGTGTGTTCTTCTCAATCAGGACCACGGTGACTCATCAAGCAAGCACCTTCTCCGGTCGTCATCACGGAGACGCGTCTTGATCGTCTTGTCATTTTCATGTTGTTGCACAAAAAGTCTGTTCTTCCATTAAAACATCTGAAGTGCCCCCCCCCCTCCCCTTCCCTTTTTAATCCACACACACGTACACAACGTCCTTCCTCACACCCTCACGTTCCCAACTCCCTCTGTTACACACCAGCTATCTAACTATCTGGCCATTCTCTGAGCTGTTCTTATGGACGGGTTTCCAGCAATGTACAAAGTTGCCTGGGGTGGCTAACACAGCGTTATAGTGCCTCCTATGGGAACTACTCTAGCTAGAGAGTCACAGATTTTTGGAGGTCTGTATACCTTTGCTAGACCTATGCATGCAACATATGAATATAAGGAAAATGACAGAAAAAAAAGCTTCTACACTTCTTTTAGGTTAATTTTGTGATTCCAACCTCTGATTGCAAATTAATGCATTTCTACACCTACAGTATTTTTCCCTGGTTGTGAAGTGTCTGTAACCTCAGAGTGTTCTTCCCTCAGTTTGGTCTTTTACACACACATAAGTTCAAGTGAACTAAAGTCGATCAAGAGCTGCAAGAATTTGTATTTTTTATAGAA